AGTTCAAGTGATGTCCTCTTATTTCGGCAGATCCGCATAGATCAGCATTGAAACAGCGGGTACGGATACTCGCCCATGCTTTAAATCGGTGGCTGGGCATCGTGATCAACAGGTACGATCTGGTCTTACTTAGTACAGCGGGGCCCAATTTCTCATAAATGGTCTGTCTTTGTTCATTAAAAGGTATTAATTAATTAAGTGTACGTGTATCCGTAGTCCGTCGTTACAGGACTCTCATTCTCTCGGTTCCTCCGCATCCTCTCTCGAACCCTTGGGCTAATGAAGCCCGTGCCGAGTGACCCACCCGACGCCGTGTTTCGGTCCTCCGCGGCGCCGGGCGAGTTTAGCTGAATCGGGAAATCATTGATCAGGCTCATATCAACGTCGTCTCCATACTCATCGCTCTCAGTAACTCGTTCTGTCTCTGCGACCCAGCAATACGACCTTTCGTGCGCTCCTTGGCCAACGCCGTCGCTCATACCTCGCTTCCATGGCGGTATCTTTGCTCCCTCCAGCCTCGGGCATAAGTGATAATCGACCTTGTCGTTATACTGCACCTTCTCATCGTCAACCGACACAGAGGCTAGTGATTGAAGGATTCCGTATATAAGGATCCAGCGACTACGCCTTGCCGTAGCGGGATCTAAGTCTCCAATGTCATCGGTCTTCTCGAAGCGCTCAAAAGCATCAGCGAGTTTGATCTCCGGCTCATCGAAGCCGGTATTTTCAGTATAAGCAAGTCGTATCCTCTCCTCCAACGCGCTCATTTGGTCGCCTCGAGTCTTTGCAATGCCTCTTCGGAATGAACCAGCAGCTGAGGTCGATTCTGGCAGTAAAGGAAACGGATGAGGAATGTGAGGGAACCGATGCTTGTTATCAAAGTCGATAAGCATATCCGTCAAGTGCATCTCCCTCGTGTCTGCGTCAATGGCCCTCCTCTTGCTCTTTGACACCATCATCAATCTGCTTCCAAACTGTATCTCCAACGAACCCCAGGCGATATCTCTGTCGACCATGCAATCGTACAGCTCCCCAAAGTCCTTTTGGAGCTTCATAGCCAAGGTCCGAGTCAGCCAGGTTTCGGGTCTTGAGGAACCGACGGATCGGCCAGATCGAGTATCAGACTGTGATGGCGGCCATGATCCATATTCCTGTTCAAAATGCTGTAGCAGCATGTCCTTCAACCTCTCAATCGCCCTCATCTCCGATCCCGTACTGGGTGTGAAGGCCCAGATGTCTTGATACCTGAAGCCAGCCAATCGTTCCTCTGCAGCCTGAACCCGATACTGCATCTCGTGACTCGCCATCTCCATAAGTTTTCTCGTGTTTGTGTTTATCTGTTTGAAGTCCTTGTACTTCTGCACGAGATCAAACATGCCTACGCAATGCGCGAAGCACTCCCTCCATCCTTCCTCCCACCGCACATCCGGTTCTTCCGACCATATAAGGAGTGACACCGCCAAGGCAGGATTATTTCGTACGTCGTCGAGATCTCGATTATAGAGATACCTTACTAATTGGCCCACGTTGTCGTTGTTTGGGGGCATATAGCTATCCAATCTAACATGAAGATCAGATAGAGCCTCGTGAAGCGACAGGCCCACCATCGAGGCGTTGAGCAGCATGGCAAAGAAGTTGCGCGTGGTGAGCTGATGACGGAGTTGATCGATGGTCTTCATGTTCTGCGGAGGCGGGAAATGCATCTCATAAAGAACTTGTCCTCCCATATCTCCAATGCTGGTGCGTCCAGATGCAGGCGGTGTTAGTGGTGAATTCCGGAATTCTTGGCCCAGTTTTCTTCCATATGATTCGGTGTTTGGTGAAGAGGGAGAATGCGTATATCCATCAATCAGACCCTCGTCCAGAAGAGAAATGAGATATCGACTGTTGATCGCCTCAATGATATGAGAAGACACGCGCATCGACGGCAAGCTCTGGCCTTTCTTTCCAAGGTAGATCAGGACATCTCCATTAGGATCCCAGAGCTCGGGATCTTTTCGAAGCTTGTTCCACTTGGTGATAGGCCGTCCTCCTCCACACCAGCGCCTGATCTGCGGTGGTGGTGCAGTAGGTACCTGTGGAATAGGAGGCAGTTTGGTGGTCGGTGGTGGTCCAACGGGAGGTAGTCCAAATGAGAGCTGTGATGTTGGCGTCAATGGCATCTGGCTTTGGGAAGTTGCATAAGAAGATGTCGACGTCAAGGTCGTATCAGTTCGAGCCACAGATTGTGAGTCCCAGCCGCTGCTCTCGTTGGGACTGGGACTCGGCATGACGGTCGGTTGCAGTGTTTCCACGCTTGGTCGGCTTCCATTGCTGTCTTGATCGATCGATTCCTCCTCCTTCTCCTTCTTTCGGAATGTGAATGTCTTTGCTATTGTCTTTCGTACATCGTCGCTTCGCTTGTCGAGCATCGTTCGTAGTCCACTCCTCTCAATAGTCCCATACTCGTCTGGCACTGTCGCTCTCCTCGGTTTGTTATGAACCCATTCCTCGGCATATTGATTGCTCGTATACGCGTCCCGATTCCAATCTGGCGACATCATTGATCTTCCTCCCCTACTTCCCATCGGTATCGAGACATTTGGCGGTAGCTGATGCGGAAATCGAGCCGCAATGGGAGTTGGGATATTGGGTGGTATCGAATGGTCAGTAAAAAGCTCTTCACCACTTGATGAAGTGGCTACAGATTGAGCGCGCCCATGTATGACAGGGTCCTTGTTCTTCGCTTGCGTTGTTTTCTTGCGCGCGTATGCGCTTCGTGCTGACATTTTGTGTGAAGGGAAGTCGATGAGGATGTAAGTGGCGGATTGGCTGTTGAGACGTTTTGGGGGAAACACAAAAGCCAGAGTCTAAGATGAGTCTATAGTAAATGAAAATGGCGTCTAGTAACTAGTCTTCTCTCAATAATGAAGTAATTGGCCATGAGTGTGGTGTGTGTGCTCGCGGAAGGGTTGTGTCCAAGTCTCATAGGAAGACGTAAAGGAGGGAACCAGAACATTGAAAAAAGCAACGAAAGTTCTGATCAAGGATTATTAGCCAAGCAAGGACATTTGGACCAGAAAGAGAAACTGACATGTAAAGTTCAAAAACAGCATCAAAGCCGTCGCGGAGAGGTCTAGATCCCTCAGAGCTCTTACAAGGGGACGGCCGCAGACGTGCGATACTACGCTGTCAACTGGGCAGTTGAGTATGGGCTACGCCCGCAACTCTTGGAGTTTTAGTTTTGACTACCGCTGATATGCGCAGGCTTCCCTAGCGCAAAGGTAGTTGACGGCGGTAGCTCTCCCAGGTTCGAGGCGTCAAATGAGCCGAAGCCGGAATGGTCGGCATACAAGAGAATGTGTGAGAGGTCTATTAGATAGAGGGCTTGTTGATAGATGCCATGTGTTGAGGCTCTTTCCGAGATATGCTGAGTCCGCGTCAAGTCCGGAGAGGCTTGAGCCACGATCGTGTTATCTCTTGTCTCTGACAACAAAGACCAGGCAGGGCAGGAAAACGCCATGAAACGAGTGATTCATGATCTATCATTTAAAAAGCATCTCCGAGTCCAGAAAACACATGTCGTTCTCCTGCAAATCATCATATCCCAAAAGCCTCTTGGCGGAAGGCGACTGATAAGCATCCATGCCGATAATCCCAGCACGGCCTATCAACACCATGATATCGCTGATAAGAATAGCAGCACCACGACGAAAGGCAGTCTAGGTATAAATTGTATACCCACGCTGTCAGCTCACTCATCAAGGGATTGCTACAAGGGGAATAACGCGTCCTGAAGAGAGTGACATCGCTCATGCGGGAGCCGTCGCTCGGGCCCCATGATGAGCGGACGATCAAATCTTATTGCTTTTCCTTTCACGTGGAGAGGCGAAGATATCTTTTGATAACGAGTCGTGGTCGAGGTCGAGGGCTGGCATTGAGTGTGGTTTGTAATGGGTCAGACAAATCGCCCAGGGTCTCGGTTCTCGGGTCACTATAGCCCACATTCCCCCCCCCCGCGTTGACAAGGTCCTTATCAGATGGGATGGAAGACAGATAAGAGTGCACTAAACCAGATGGAAATGTCTAGAGATAATTGAAGGATACAAGCCTTGTGCTGAAAAGGAAGTAAAGCCGAGGTAAGGATAATTGTTCCGGCCGCCAAAAGGATCATGGCGTTGACTGTGTCAGTTTGCCAAGATTAATTATCATTGATATGAGGGCCAGAGCCTAGTCAAGCTGTCTGATCAACCTTGACCCTGCAATACCGAGTCTGCATTCATGGCAATATTTATCGGATGCACTAATAAGCATATGACTGGAGACAAGCTCAACGTTGAACTGTCATGCGCAACAGATTGGCCATCATTGTTTACCCTATACACGATCAAGGCCCCTTGTTCAATATGGGTGTCGTCAATATTGGTGATAATGATGCAATGTTTAATTGCTCACTACTGTCAGGATGGTTCTGATTATGCATAATTCTCTTCGAGGACGTAATGAACTGTCCAAGGTCGAGGTATGAGATCATGCTGTGAACATCCACTCTTGATTGACATGGACACCACCAAACTTCTGGTGGCTTCGTGGAGCCAAGCGAAAAGTGAAATGACGTAAAGTGGAGGAAACACATTAAGCTCGGCAGCCATAGCCGGTGACTCCCGGCATGGGATGGGAATAAGCGTTAGATGCACATGTAGATCAAGTTTATCTCTAATCGCGTGTTGATGAAGACCTTCAATCAAGAAGATGAAAATCTGAACAGTGGGAGCATGATATAGAATAGGTAATCAATGACAGTTTTCTTTCTCAACCACAAGGCTGGTACAAATACACCATAAATTGTACAAAAAGTAATCGTATAATCGGGCGCTTCTGACGAGCCAGTCAGTTCCTGAAGGGTATCTTGCGGCCGTGTCGCATAAAAAAACAATTAAAACCAAAGACAAATCCAACCACCGCCACTCCATTTCCAAGTTACGTTATCCATCCCTTCGACTCATTACATCCTCAATCGTTTAGACACCAGAGTGGTGACCGGGCTTGGTATCGGCGTGAGCAGAGTGACCGCGCGATCGCATGAAAGCAAGAGCCTCCATGATGGTCAAGCCAGTGAAGATGGCCCAAATGAAGTAACCAAAAGCAACGGCGGCCTGAGCGCATTGGCAGACTGTGATGCCGTGGCATTTAGGAACACCGATGTGAGCAGCGAGAGCGGTAGCGCCGGCGAACCAGAACAACGTGGTAAGGGCGAGAACACCGAGAGCGACCATGCTGTGGTACAAGCGAGGAGCGAAGAGAGGCGTCAAAGCGAGGTAGAGGAGTATGAGGATGGACCAAACGACGCAGAAGAGCAGGAATGACACCGAAGCAGGCGAGTCAGACCACCAAGTACTAGTAGCATCGACGACTGTGGGATTGTTAGATGAGATAGCTCATTGAAGAATGGAGGCAGAGAGTTTCGGCACTTACGGTATGCGGTGAGGCCCAACTCGATGATGAGAAAGACTGCCAGAACGGCGTGAATGATGGTGATGATGCCCATGGCCATGATGAAAGATGAGCGATCTATCGGATTGCAGGTGTTGATAGAGATGATGTGCTGCTGAGTAGTTAACTCAGTTAAGTTGAGTTGAGTTGAGTTGAGTGAGGTGAGTGAAGAGGAAATGTGATCGCCAGCAAGAGGAGGGGTCCAGCAGGGGGATATAGCATTTAAATCTACGGGCGGCAGCTTCGGGTTCAGTCTGGAAAGAGAAGAATGAAGGGTCAATGACGGACAGTGTCAGTCATGGATGGGCCCATTCAAGGCAAGACAAGACAAGACAAGACACTTGAACCCAACCCAGACCACACCAAACCAAATCCAACCCAACAGGCCAAGCCAAGATCGAGGCCAGCCCAGTTCAGTTCAGCCGCTGCCAGCGTGAAGAGCTACTACCAGTATGTACCGACCTACAGCGAAGAACCTCTACGTCAGTGAATCATGGGGCGTATTCGGCAGTCACCTACAGAGTACAGCCAAGCCAAGCCAAGCGCGAAGCTTTCCCTTGACAAAAAAAGAGGCAGCCCAGGCCAATCAAGGGCAGACAGAAGTGAAGTGGATGTCTCGAGATCTGCACTGACGACGACGTTTGAGTGGCTCATGGAGCTTTTCCTGCTTCCCCAAGAGCGGTCTCACGAATGACGTGGTGCTAAGACCCAAACATCTGACGTTTTGATGCAGGGTTTCCTAGCGCGTACCTACACACTTACAGGGCGCGTGATGTCATCTAGTGGCTGAACAAGGCTCAGCTCAAGGCTCATCAGTGCATAATTCAGTGAATATCCCGAATACGAGACATTGTTCACATTCACAGTCACATTCCTTAGCTGGTTCTGGGCGAAATGTAATGTTAAAGAGCATCATCTCATCGTGTTAACGACAGGAGCTTGTGACGCGCACGACTTTTCTTTCTTTCTTTCTTTCTTTCTTTCTTTCTTTTCCACCTGTCGGACCCCCCCGGGAGCTATAGCAATAAGCGCTTTGATTCAGTGAATGCTTGGCTGATGGATGCACTGCCTTGGCTCGGCAGCTGAAACCGGTAGACCCAAGACGTCTCTTCTCTTTTCTCTCTGTCGGCGGCTGCTGCAGTTGAGTCAAAGGAACTAAACATCCCTGTACAGTCACTGTCAGTCAGTTCAACTCTAACTTGGCCCGGCAATTGAGAGCAGACGTGTTTCAGTCTTGGCAGAGATCTGTTTCAAATCATCTGACAGGACATGCATATTTTACGCTTCTCGGAATACGATTGGCCAACACCATCTCACATCTTGACGAATGCATTAACCGTCACCAGGCCACAGGCGAGACAATGAATTGTATATCTGGAACATGCTAATAAATAATAAGCGCCTCAGTCTCACTCTCAGTCTCACTCATTCAGTCCTTGGCCCGTATACAACTGTCACCGTTGTCGTCTGAACAATCGCCCGCTCCTCATCATCGCTGCTGTTGCGAGGATCCCACATCTGAGTCTGAGTCTGAGTCTGAGTCTGAGCCCCAAACTTATTCAATGACTCTTGTCTCCGCAGGTGCCGTATCATCTGTACTGGCTGGTCGTCTGTCTCATATGCCGTGACTTCGGTCGTCACGGGCTGCGCCTGGACGATTGTCTTGAGGTCGAAACCAGGATCCTCAATCTGAACGCCGAGTCTATCCTTCCGGGCTTTGTTTCTAATGCTCCCTATCGTCTGGAATGGATGTTGTCGTGTTCCTTTACTGGTTGCGGAGTATTGAACTGATGACCCACGTTCGCCGATGAACTTGGGTGCGACATGGATGAAGAAACGGCGAAGCGTCGTCAGCGACGCGCATATTATCAAGAGGTTGGCCTCGACAAAGCTGGGCTTGTTAGTCACTGCCATACTAGGGTCGAGTCGTACTCACATCCAAACCACTGCACTGGAGAGAACCCACGTGTAGTCGTTTGCATTAACTATCGGAACCAGTAGTACTAGCCGAACCACAGACGTTACAAGTGTTCTGTCTCATCAGTTAGCAAGTGCTAGCTCCCTCAATGGAGAATCACCTACGCAGAACCAATGACAAACAATACAACAAGTCCGGCCTTTTGTCGTGGTGGCATCTGCAGCTGCAGAATCGTCGGTAATGGCATGATGAGAAGGATGAGATCTGAAAGAATGCCCAGGCCCGCTGTGCAGATGTACACTGCTCCTCGATCCACGCATGAGCCTTCGAGCATCGTGAGATCCCAGCTTTTCTTGAACGGCGTACACCCGAACAGAACCACGAGCAGGATGGCCAGGTTATAGCCAGCAACGAGGAAAAAGACGCTATACACGCTCCATTTCCACCACCGCTGCGGTGACAGCCTCCGGTAGAATAGCGCCAGCGCCATCTTGGAGCAGGCAGTGCATACTGCGTATAGGATGGGAGATATGAAGGTGAGCTTGGGCATTGTTAGCAATATGTCCGCCAAGGCTTACAAGGGATCTCACCTGATTCCCTTCGTTGAACTTTTCGAGGGGGAGTTCCCAGGCATGTACGCCTGTTACCCCGAGGATGAATGAACCTGATACCACTCAACAAATGTTCCATCTACCGGGGACTTTTCAGTAGAAACTTACTGAGAGAGACAGCTTGAACCGCTATGGAGAAGATCCACGCAATTACAAGGCAAGCTTGCTGTTCTTAGCAGATGATAACTTAATACAGATCGGTGCAAGGGTCTTACCCGTCTCCCCATCGGGTTTACGTAAAACCCAGAGTTTGACATATAAATACTGGAAAAAGAAAAGGAAAGCGAGCGTTGTGCCTATACCTGAGATCACATATGACTCTATGGCATGCCGTTGTAGGGGATGATCAAAGTTGACCACATAACCCTCTGGTGGTGGGATAGCGACTGTCACGCCGTCTACTATGGGGAACGCAGACATGGCGGCCTCGATGACCTGGGATTATCAACACGCTCGTTATTGTGACCGAGGGATTCGTTGGTTGTTAGAGATACTCAAGAGAGTGATAGATGCGATTCGTCTTGGCGATTAATGAGTGTCGAGAATAGATCGAGTTTCGAGACGACAATAAGGGGTAAGAGAGAATATTACAAGCCTATTGTATACGTCGATATCGAATCGACAATAGGATATCAATACAATTATGAATAAGCGCGCACCAGACGCAGAGGATTAATAAATTCAAAACAAAAGAAGAACCATACCAAGGCCAAGAATGAAGAGAATCGACATGTGAACATTCCAACACGCGACCTTCTTCCCTTCTATAACACGATACTCTAACCAGCACAATCCAACAAACGCCCCGACCAAATCCTTCGAAACAACAGGTATCATCCGGCGAGACCGCCTTTTTGGGTCATTATGGAGTACGACGGTATAGTTGAGGACAGACCATCTTGTGATCTGGGATGTGTTGCAGAGCTAGAAGCATTGTTGAAGAGCTGGCGATGATCCACTGTGGGAGATCAGCGACAAGGATTGCATCGCATCGCGCGGCTGGAGAATACTCGAGATCGTTGTGTTATGAGATCTGATATCTTTGATCTTGCAGTTTGTGTGACCAAATCTTGCACATCAGTGATCACGCCTTGTAGTTCCTAATCACTATGTGATCAACTGTCCCACAGCATCTCACCAACTCCTAGAGCCATGCATCATCGTCACAGCTGAACTTGGTAACAGTCTACGCATGGATCACTTCAAGGCTGAACATTCTGCGGGGACATACCCAGCCTAGCTTCTTACAATCACTGCTTAGCATCGTCTCAGCTAAATTGCCCCGATGCTTATGCAAACATCCTCTCTCATGACAAATCTCGCTCGTCCTGCAAGAGACCCAGTGTCAAGATGCGATTGGCTAGTCACGCCTCAGCCTTTGTATATCTGCTTGATGGCATCGTCATAAAGATGGCGCATGCTCTCCTCATCATCGGCCATCCTCCGTGCAGCCGTGTTCTCTAGGTGTACTATTTCTGGGAAGTTGTCACTTCTTCCATGTCCCCGAGCGTGCATCTCGATGAAGCGAGCTGAATGTGTTTCCGAAACACTCGATCCTCCGCGGCTCTGTGCAACGTCGACTAGTTTTCCAAGGACAGCGAACTCGAGCTTCAGTTTAATGGAGTATATGACCAGTTTCACGCCTTGTTCGATCGTATAGTGGTCCTTGTACATGATGATCAGGAGAGCTATGTCCATGGCTACGATGAGGAGGTTGATGATCAGGAGATACCACATTGTCTTTTGCTTGTTGCCTAGTGAAGTCTGTAGGATATCGATGGTACCCCAAAGGTACAGTCCTGAGATGACAAACTCTTGCGCGCAAAAGAATGTCATTTGAGTTTTCTCGATGGCGACGAATATGCGCGTGGGATTGTTACCATCAACGCTTGGTCCAATCGTGAATAGCAGTGCTGTCTGCGTCGTGTGCCATATCGTGCCGTTGACCACAATCATCCATAGCACAGCGCGCTGTATTCTCAAGTTGTTCAGTACCAAGTGCAGTCGTGAGTACAGCAACACGGACTGACCACTAACTAGGACGATCCAACCGAGCGACGCGATGGCCTTACTCGCGTCGGTGCCCAGGATGCCAAGGTATCCAAGCAACCATCCCAACGCATACGGAAACACGCCCAAAGTGGTCAAGAGAAGACTCCAGAAGTAAAGACCATGATGTCGTTTAAAGGTGGTGAAGATCAAGGCGAGAAGCTCGCATGTATTGTATAGAGCGAGAGTAGAGGTGGCCTGAAATGGTCAGCGTTACCCAAGCTCGTGATTGAATTGACACACAATGACTAGAACTGCCTTGGGGCTGTATACCAGCCCATCTTCCCTCCTGTATATCACCGAGAGATGCATCCCAGATGATAGACAGCCTCTCGCCACTGAGACCAACGTGCGTTGTGATAGAGATGCAATGTCACCAAGACAGCATATAGAGAGGGATTCAGGTGTGACAAGTCACATTTCAATGCAATTGTAGATTATAGCATCATTGAAAATCTGGGGTAAAGGACAAGAATCCGGGGGACCTGCCAGATAGTTCATTGGTGACAATGAAGGATTAGCTAGAGACAGCCTTTGGTGCAAGACCAGGCATATCTAGCCTCATGGGGCCGATCTTCCGAGGAATAGGTCACTTGCAACTTTAACAAATATATGTAGCCAATGAGAAGGACGAGGATGCGCCAAAATGCGTTCGACTTCTCTTCATCACTTGCATTAGAGTAGTGCAACTTGTCATTGGCAGGGCAGAGTTACCATGAAGGCCTAGGGTCGTGGAGAATTGCCATATCGAGACATCGCCCAATCAAGAAACATTCGCCGTTCAGTATTTCTAAAGGATGCTGATATAACAAGATATCAGGTCCAGGATCTCGAGGATGTTTGATGCTAATGTCACAAGGCGATACTTATCAGCCGTTGCGGCAGTTTTGACCTTTATTCTTGTTGAACACTAACACCTCAACTGAAATGCATAAACAATAAACTCAACTCAAACGTTTTTATTTATCTAAAGCCCATCCTTGACTCCTCTAATTCTATTAGAGCTTAAGACCGAAGCAGTTGGCATAGTAAGTAACAGTCGAGCTCCAATCCGAGAAGACACCAGCGACGCCAATCTCCCGGAAAACATCCAACAAGTTAAATACATCACCATCATTGTTGATCAGCTTCGCAATAGTAGTATAGTAATAGTTGCCGTCCGCGCCGTTCTTCAGAGGACCAGATCGCTCCAGGGTCCATGTGATGATCTTGAGACCGAGCTCATTCGCCTTCTTTGCATACGCGCTGGGAACGATCTTTCCGTTCTTACCAGGTGTGACGAGATAAGGCAGAGGGGGTGCGATATAGCGAACGCCGTCCTCCTTGTAGCGGGTGAGGTTGGCAACGGCCTTTTCAAAGGTCTCGGGTGTGTCGCCCGTCTCGTCGAGATACATGGCTTGACGAGCGTACTCAGGCTCGGCCTTGAGCCAGTACAGAATGTCGTCGTACAGGAAGCTCTGGAGATACACATCGCTAGGCTTGACACCGGCCTGCTTGTGCTCGTCGATGAGCTGCTGAGCGTACTTCTTCTGGGTATAGTCACCGTCAAAGGGCATCTTGACCTCGGGTGTCTTGAGCTCAGGAGTATGCTTCAAACCAAGGCGCTTGGTGAGCTGAATGTGTTCCTTGTTGCTCAGAACTGTACCGCAAGTAGCGTACAGATCGGTCCGCCAAGGTGGAGTACCGTGGAGGAAGTCAGCAGCGTTGGTGGCAGTGGCATTGAAGCCCTCCATCTTGGCGCAGAGAGTCTTGAACTCCTTGAGGGTAATGTCGCTGGTGCAGCACTTGGCAGAAGCAGGCTTGCCATCCTTGGCGGGCTTGAACGGCTGGGTGCACTTCTTGTTGAGCTCGGGGATCGTGACAATGTTGGTCGTGTAGTGAAGATCGCACTGAGAGTGTCGGCACACGAGCTGGCGATCTTTGGTGAAAGCAACATCACACTCAAGGATACCAGCGCCCATTCGAGCGCCAGCCAGGTTCGACTCGAGAGAGTGCTCAGGGAACTGAAGAGTACCACCGCCACGGTGGGCAATTGACCACTGGGAAGGCTTCTGAGGCTTCTCCGAGCACGACTGAAGCTTCTTCTTCAGCGAACCCTCGTCCATGTCGTTGACGAGGTAGTAGGGTCGAGGGCCGAGCTCAATCTGCTTGATTGGCTTGACAGTCTTGAACAACTCCTTATCGCCATAGCTGGGGCTTGGAGCAGCCACGGCAGGGCTGACAACCGCAAGGCCGGCAACGAGAGGAGTAGAGAAACGCATGGCGAGCAGGACAAGTCAATTGATTGACAGAGGAGCAAGCAGGTTCAATGGAACAAGAGACACTGACAAGGCTTGGCGAGAACCAGCAATTGAGGCCTTGATCGAGACTGAGGCGTGACCAAACACCAGAACTTCTCGATGCGACCTGGGGGCTCACCAGGCTTTATGGACGAGAGAACTGCACATTGATCCCCAGGCCGATAGACCTATCTGGGCAATGCGCCGAGATGACGTCGCAAGATCCCCAGGAACAAGCCCATTCACGAAGAACACCCCTACAGGATGTGGTTTTTGTCGAACCTTCGGTGTTGGTTATCGGCCTAGAAGAGACGAATTGAGCAATCACATCGCAGATCACAGCACTTGCAGGCCAGCTTCTGCAAAGAGCACAAGGTCCCCGGAGCTAGCAGTAGGCAAAGTCCGCACGAGATGGGCATCTTTGACAAGCACGTGTGGAGGAGACGTGGGCGTCGTTGGAGGGGGGGAGCTTGGGAAGCTAAGGATAAGCTTAGCAGCGTTACACTGAACCGTTCAGCTAGAGGCGTGTTTAGTATGGACCTTGTGATTTGCCGAAACCTAGCTTAATTGAACCCCTGCCATAGCCACGCATAACATAACCTGGTCGAGAGATAATATCGAGCATCTTTGGAAGGTGTAGCGATAAAGTTGGCGAATCGTTCAATTGAAAGTCGGCGATTCATGCATGTGCATACATGGGTAAGCCATGCTGTCATAGCATCTCAACAACTAGCCAGGTAGCCAAGCACCTGCTTGCGCTTTTGTATGTATGCCGCATTACAACTCATCCTTGTTCCCATCTTCCATGGAGTCGTGCTCAACTGCATGCCCGTTCCGCATGTTGCGAACTTCCTCGGCCGTGACTTTGAAATGCTCAAATGAGGGCGCATCTTCTCCAATGCCCCAAGCAAAAACTCCCCCAACTCCGAGATCCGGCACGACATGGCTAAACTTTGTCTGAATGCACTTCTTAGTATCAAACGTCCACCATCGCCACTCTTTCTCGTCCCAATAAAAATAGCTTCCGTCTTTATCATACGTTCCGGCTGTTTTCGCGCGTTCAAAAGATGTAGATACGTCCTGGGGAATCTCGTCGTGCCAGCTAAAGCCGCCTGTCTTGCCCAGATCAGCTCCGGTCTCGGGATCCTCAAGCAATTGAGTAGGGCACCCAAGAAGCCCTTCCTGTGAGCATTCTTGGGTCATGAACCATTTGACATAGTATCCGAATCCAAGATTGAGCTGACCTGGTGATGCGCCCCGGTCGATATAACGCTGGATTGAGTCTTGAGAATCCGAGACACCGCTGTGATGCTTGGTCACGACATCTCTTCGGTTCATCAGGTCGTACGTCATGATGTTGAGGAAGTCGACTTCTTTCATGATCTTTGGCATGGTGGTGGGTGTAAAGGCCATCAAATCGACCTCTTTGCCCGGAACAGCCGCTGAGAGAAGTCTTTCGGGACCAATAGCAGCACGCAACTCTTGGAGGAGCGACACAAATGCATTGATTTCCCATTCGCGCTGGGAGTTGGGAATTTGCTTGTAATCATCACGGTTGCCTCTGTTGCAGTCAGTATGTATGTACCTAGTAATGGCCAAGATTGCAATGTTCCTCACCCGGGATACTCCCAGTCAATGTCGATGCCATCAGCGCCCGTCGCAGTGACCATGGCAGCAACCTGGCGCGCCCATCGCTTCCGCGTGGTTTCATTCTTGGCCGCTTCCTCGAAACCCTGAGTATCGCCCCATCCTCCGATCGCTACCATTACTTTGGTGCCGCCAGGGAACCTTTTGCGGACATCAGAAACAGAGGTGAATAGCGGATAGTCCTGAGGTTTGTTGTCAACATTGAAGGTCTCGGATCGCATGAATGCCAGAATGACATGCGAGACATCTTGAAGTTCGCTCTTTGATGGGACAATATCGTGTTGTCTAAAATTTCAGTCAGTGGAATATTCTGAAGTTCCTATTTGCTACCTACTTACCCTGTGAGATACATAATGCAACGGAATGGCTCGCCTCGAGACACGGCAGTGGCAGTCACAAGCGCCAGAAATAACAGATGCCATTGCGTATTCATTTGAATGAAGCGCATTTGGAAGAAAAGTGATTGTTGGAGGTTGTCTACTTTATGCTGGACTGGAGGTGGCGCTTGCTCAATTGACCTGCAGATGCATTGTAGGTGTAGATGAGTGAAGTGGATGTTTCTCAGCCAATGTTCAGACGGGAGAAGCCCTATATGCTACTCTCAACCTGATTCACCAACAAAAACAACACAACAAACAAGATACGTTAATGCATCTTCATTCTGGCTCAAATCAATTCGTATTTCCTATTTCCCAATGGAAGTTCCTCCCAGATAATAACTCGTCTGCGCCTGCCTTCTATTCTGTCTAGTAACATACGCCACAAATCCATGCCTGGGTATTGTATTATACAGCGGATAAAACCGCACTAACGCCAGAGCCTCCTAAAGAAATCTACAGAAAATAATCCCAAAGAAAAGTCGTGGTATCGTGTTCGCTTCGTGTTCGTATCCTTCAATATCCCAGTCCTGTTAAATGAGCCCTCGACTCTTGAGAATCCGACTGAGCTCCTTGAGCTGCACTGGTTTGGAGAGAAACAGATCCAGTCCGTTCGCAAAAGCATCCTCCTGTGCATCCTTAGAGGCGAGGCCAGATATGGCGACAATATGCCTTCGTGGCAAATCTGACGCCTTCTCAAACCCTCGAATTTGTCGTGTAGCCTCAAACCCATCCATGACCGGCATGGAAATATCCATCAAAATACACTTGTAATACCCTTCTCGAGCTTTGTAACACTCCAGAGCTCGGAGTCCATCCGAGGCCGAGTCGTACGCCACACCCAGCTTCTTCATGTACGTTTGAAGGATCCTCATATTGATAGCATTGTCTTCTACCAGGAGGAACCGTTGGTCGTGGGGTGTTGCAGGTATTTGCATCGCGAGCACTGATGGCAATGGAGTCTGAATGTCATCGTCATCCCAATGCGCCCTTCTCTTCTTAGGAGACAGCGTTGGGGCAATATCAAAATAGCCGCGGCCCTTGTCATGGGACCCACGTTGGACAAGATCTGTTTCTGCCGTTGATACAGTCTGTGGCTCGTCGAGTCTTGTCGAGACACTGGCACGGTCTGCAGCCGTTGCTTGTAATTTTATCCAGCGCCTGAAGCAGAGGACAAAAGCTTTGGCAAGTTTCCTCGGTCCCACACTAGATAACAACGTCAGTGGTAAGGAACAACTAGTAGCAAACAGATGACTCACGGGCGCGATATGAAACTGAACAATCCCCAATCGAGCCTGCGCTGTGACCTATGTGACCTGTCAAGCGATCGAGCGACCGCAGCATTGCGACAGACCACGACAACGGGGGACGATAGCTCGTCTCGAGGTTGGTTTGCTATTGTTTCAAGGTGAGACTCGTCACAGAGTATCAGGTCAGGAAGATACTCGATGTTGTGGACGGAGTCGACGACTTGCATAAGCAACCAATCATGGCAGACCTTTTCCAGCAAAGCACGTTCGTCAAACTCCCTAGAATTCCAACGTGGAATTTCTGAGCCACCTCCGCCGAAAGGTGTGAATCCGCTGATGCAGACGCGGAGACCTGACAACTCGATGGCCTGTGACTGAAACTCCTCGCGGTCGGACATTGTTTCCGTCGAATCAAGACTGACAGCTTCTAGTGGTAGTTTTACAGCGATGCGGGTTCCTGTGCCCACCTTGCTTTGAACATGTATAGAGCCTCCGAGGGCCCTGACGAATTTCCTTACAAGGCTCAGGCCAAGGCCAGCGCCCGAAGAGTGAATATTCTCTTGAGCGAACGGAGCGAACAGACGGTGGTTGAGGTAATCTTGTCCGATGCCTGCTCCTGTGTCGGTGACATCGATATGAACGACTCGATCCCTTGATCGGCTTTGCCCCGGAGGGTCCTGGTAGGCCGAAACTTTGACATAACCACGTCTTGTGTACTTGAGGGCATTGCCGCAAAGATTCATTATTATGCGCCTCAATGCCCCTGACTCAAGATGGAATGCCCAATCTACTGCTGGGTCAATGTCCAACATCACAAGGACTGCGTCAGGACCAGCTCCGTTGCTGATCTTTTCTCCAGCCTTGATACTATCCGCAACGTCCATACCATCAAGGCGGGTAAGAGGATCACGGTTGAGCTCTTCATTCGGCCTATCATCGCGAACAAGCGAGAGTGATTGTTGTTGGTAGGTATGGCCAGCATGAATACACTCCACAACTTCTTCCACCAACATGTCCAGATCCAGATTTGAAGTGATATGCATCATTCCATCAGTCGGCCTACTTCTCTGATTAGACTGTGCGCCTCTCACGAAGGCAATCCCAGAGTTCGGCGACTGTTCACTGGGTGCCTTGACAAAGTTGTTGATGCGTGTCCAATCAAGCAAGTGGTTGATAGTGTCCAGAAGTGTACGACCGCAGACCTCAAGGGAGCGCAATACATCGCCCTGGAAAACATCTAGTGCGCTGTCACGCAACAGCTCGGCACACAGAACAATGCCGTGAAGTGGAGACCGGAGTTCATGGGATAGGGAGCTGAGTAAAGATGTCGTCGCCAAGGATACTATGGAACTCTCCATCATAGCGACGTCTGCCATGATGACTGCACTGAAAGCGGCAAGGTAGCTCAGTTCCCCCTGGACTGTAAAGATGCGAGTTGGCGTCATTGTATAGACAAAACACCCAGAAAACCAGCGCTCTCTATGAGAGTCCCATAGAGGTACAAAGGCAACGCTCCGTGCTCCTGGGAAAACATCGCGAATAGCCATACCTTCATTTTTTCGTGAATACGGGTCGTTGACCTTTCGTGACGTTTGCCTGTCGCCCCTTTGCCCTTCTTGAATGCTCCGAGCTTTCTGGGCCTGGAAAGCGGCCATAGCAGAGTCCTCGCTTGTCGGATCGCTCGATCCCATCACTCCGTCGCCATCGAAATTAAAGATCTTGCCCTTTGGATAGCGACGCAGTAGTCTCTGGAGCTGTCGTTCGGGTATAGTTCGACTGCGTCCTGACGGGACTTCACCATTGATACTGGAAGACACAGACGTAGAGAATCCAAGGACAGGGCACATAGCACCTGAAGACCAGGAGTCTGCGGAATTCCGGGGGGATGACACTGAATTATTCCCTCTACCTGGAGAGGACGAAGATGAGGATGAGGAGGAAGGGCGACGGTGAGTCCTTGAATTACGCCGTAAAGAACCAGACCGGATTCTGCCAGCAAAAGAGCCAACACCTGCATCCAAAAACAGGACCCCCTCAACTTCAATCGACTCGCGTAGTATGTTTGCCGCTTTAGAGAAGATCTGGTCCAGCTGCTGAGATCGCGATTCTTCTCCAGTCGGAGCTGAATGGGTAGGCTTGTCTGTTGGATGAAACGGATTTGTCGGCCTGTTCTGACTGGGACTTTCAAGCACAAAAGTATCTGGCGTGGATATGCTCTCCGTGTCGGCAGCGGCAGCGGCATTATCCCTCTGATTCTGGATCTTCTGTTGCGTCTGGTTGAGAGAGCCTTCTTCTGTGCTTGCATCGGTATTGAAGGCATGAGCTAAATTGTTCTGCCATCCTGACATGGTCGTCTTTCCCTCCACATAGCTCCCCAAACCGCGAACCATGCGCTCGCCAGGACGCCGGCCATCTCCAGATCGTGTCAGTTCTATTTGACCCAGGATAGATGCTGAAACATCTCGCATGACTTGGAGTGATGCTTCGTCAAGTGTCTCCCGCGGCTCGTTGTCGAGAATACAGAAGACGCCGATGTTGATACCTCGGCGGGTTCTTATGGGTACTCCTGCGTAGAACCGATGCTCTGGCCGTGTCTTGTAGTACCATGTATCGCGATACTCTTCATTTTCGGCGAGGTTGCTTATCACTGTGATGGGGAGCTCCGAAGCTAACGATGCTTGCCTTGGCCCACCAGACTCGGGACATACCAATACACGATCACAAATGCCATAGCTTCGAGGTATTGCAGTACCACAAAGCCAGAGGCTATCATAACCAGAACTAGGAGGATTGGCGTGAGCAGATATGCGAAGCGCAGGTGTAGCTTCGGCAATAATGTGCTGGTGTTGACAGTCAAACAGCGAGATCATGGCGCGAGAGGCGCCAAGTCTCAAGAGAGCCACCTGGGCCAGAGCTGTCATGGCAGGATCCGAGCATGGTCGCAACGAAGACGACGGAATAAGGTTTGCGACATCATTGCGAATAGAGTTGGCGAGAAGGACCGAGTCATATCTGGGTATTTGTTAGATGAGTCCGTTTGACGAGCTTCAATTGATAGCAGAGGATGAAGATGCGACGAGAGTGAGGGTGAGAAATGGTGCAAGGTCATACTTGAATATCTCCCGTTCGCGAGTTGATTCGGAGACCTTGTTACCAGTCATGATCGACAGCTGTAAAGTGCTTAGCCCATGCAAGCAAGCAAGCAGCCTCGACAGGGGGAACAGATCGTCGGACGAGGTTGGGGGTTGTGTGGTTTAACAAGACTGGTTTAAAACATAGTAACCTGCCCTTGAGAATTTAGCTAGATATTGGCAAGATTACTTAAGGATCCCTCCATCGCACTCCGACTTGTCCAGGTCTAGATTCTAGACCGTCCTTCCATTCGAGTCTTGACCTATCGCCACCCCGCTTTGCCCTCCAACGGCCCTAAAACCAACAACTTATAGTGGGGCCACCACCCGGGTGCTTACCCGTGGAGATCTACCGCCTGAGTTCCGTTATTAGCGACAGACAGATCGATCGATTTGCCATGAAACCTCCGGCCTCTCATCTCATGGATAAGATTTTATGGGCATCTGACCGAGTTAGGCACGCATAAGCTCAAGGTCATTGGGTGCTCTTAATTTAAAGGATTATAAAGCATGAAGGGAAATAAATCTACGCTGCTTGCATAAATAGCACGTGCTTGGAAAGAAAAAGCAAGGGCAGGATATCAATGACGAATTTATGATACGCGCTCTGCAATTGATAGCAGTTTCCCATGTTCAAAAATGCATCTACAGGTGGGAAAACAAGATGTTTCTGCATAAGCTTTTAGGGTGGGTGTGCCTGGATGCTGGAGCTTCACACCTCAGTCTAGAATTCAATGGGCCCATTTATTACAACGGGCTAACAAGTGGAAATACTCAACATCATATGAGTTTATAAGGGCTCAGAAGAGAGTCAACAACAAATCGAATGAACATTAAAAGATACAATAAGTCAAGAAATGAACTAAAATTATTGCACTGTAATACGTACCTCAGAACAGGGTGTTCCTGTTGAGCTTGTCCCAGAGACAGTGTGAATTAGTGTTATCGCACCGATAACACGGTGGCTTCCATTGGCTCGAGCTTCTTTTTTTTTCCCCTTCATTCTTTTCAAGCAATGCTATGCATGAACATTTTTTGAGTAACCGTTCAACATCGATTTCAACATGTTTGAGAATACATGTACCCTACCTCTGTCGGCAGACGTATTTGCAACAGCCCTCCACCCCACGGAGCCCCTCCTGACCGTCGGTCTATCGAGTGGCCATGTCGAGACCTTTCGATTGCCATCCAGCTCTTCTTCCGACGACAATGCCGATGCCGATGGAGACACGAGCGTGCTGAGCGACGGAAAGAGTATGATCGAATCCGTCTGGCGCACTCGAAGACACAAGGGAAGTTGTAGATCCTTGGTCTACTCGCACGATGGCTCAGGTAAGCTTTCCGCGAGCTTCGCTGTGACTGCCCTTTGTTTGCCAAGCTAACCCGTTAAAGCTGTCTATTCAGCTGGAACTGATGCGCTGGTAAAGCACTTTGACCCCAAAACCGGTCAAGTCATTTCCAAATTCGTGATTCCTTCTGCAACTACGGTTCCCGATGCGCCGACCCTTCTCCACGTCCTGAACCCCCAGAGCCTGCTTCTTGCGACCGACTCAGGTGCCCTCCACATCATTGGCCTCAAGGACGGCAAATTGGGAAAGAAGCCCGTTCAAACTCACTTCCCCCATGCCGACTACGTTTCTTCCATAACACCTTTGCCACCCACTAGTGCCAGCACCAGCGGTTTCCCGAAGCAATGGGTCAGCACTGGCGGTACTACGCTCGCCGTGACCGATGTTCGGAGAGGAGTGCTTGTGCGTAGCGACGACCAGGAGGATGAGCTGCTATCTTCTTGCTTCGTTCCAGGCATGGGCCCTAAAGGACATCGCAACAACGGCGTTTTGGCGGTAGGATCCGGCTCGGGTGTATTGACCATGTGGGACAAGGGAGCCTGGGACGATCAACAGGAACGAATTATCGTGGATGGCGACAAGAGGGGCGGCGGCGAAAGTATCGATGCCATGGTCTTGGTCCCGCAAGAGCTGGGACTTGGCAAGAAGGTCGTCTGCGGTGTGGGCGACGGCAGCTTGCGTGTGGTCGATCTTGTTCTTCGGGAGGTGGACATTTCAGCCAACTTGCGTCACGACCATATGGAGAGCGTTGTATCGCTGGGTTTCGATTGCGAGAATCGCCTTATCAGCGCTGGCGGAAGAACCGTAAAGCTTTGGGAAGAGCTATCTGCTCTTCAAGGAGGCAATGACGAAGATAACGAAGAGGATGAAGATGACGACGACGACGATAGCGATGATAGTGACGCTGGAGAGAATGGCAACGGCAAGCGAGCTGCTGATAGCGACAGCGACGACGATAGTGAAGAAGACCAAATTGCGGAGATGAAGCGCAGGGCCAAGCGACGCAAGGAGGCCCAACAGAGCAAACTCGGGCCCATGGGAGCACACGGCGTCATGGGGTTTGAGGGCTTGGACTGAGTGGAATTTTTCGGCGATAAAAATGCTGTTACGATACCCCGCGTAGATACGATTAAGTAGTGCGATCAGACGGTCAGAATGGCCAGAGCGCAAATCATGGACGTCGATACATTTCATTACAAATACAAGAGACGAAGATTAATTTTGACAGCCTTCAATTTTTCATTATCTGGCTATCTATCTAATTTGTGAAGAAGCCCACCCTAGGAGGTGGACATCCAACGACTCATGTGCAGTTGGTGGTCTTCCGAAACGAAGCACGATCACATACATAGTGAAATAACCAAAAACCCATTCGTGTCGAGTCGGGGAGAGAAGGATCCCTTGGTCGATGTTACACGACTTTTGGTGATAGTTCTTTGAGGCCCAGTAGCCTCATGTTTTGACTCGAGACCTAGTAGTCTCTTATGATGAGTCTTCTCGAAGCCCAGTAGCCTCGGAAAGTACAAGTGCACTTATTCTATCCCGGAAAAGGGGCAGAAGCAGATACCTTGCCATTACACATGTTAAGGCTTGCGTCTGAACCGGTGACTAGAACAAGGACTTGAAGCGGCATTGTACCCAGCAATACTCTATCAGAGAATTATGGAAGACCAAGCCGGTGGTCTATGTCTTGCAGAGAAGGGCATGATATCCAGGCGATGTTATGCAAAGTACTAGAAAACTTTGCCGGCCGTGGGTCATGCTCCCTTCTCCATGATTCCTCAAACGCGTGAAGGGCGAGGCGAGGCGGATGGCGTGCGTTATGCAAATATCGCACAAATCATTATGATCCCGTATCCGAGAAATCGGCGTGAGGCTGGGGATTCTGGTATGAGAATAGGAGGCTGAAGGGCTCCTCACAGGTACAAGACAGGTGATTTTAAAAAGAGATTATAAAAAACATGTCCAGGTGGACAGGACCAGAAAGTTTTAAACGCCTGGAATGTGAAGGTAGCTCCAGCAGGCGTCTTCTGGTTTGGGCAGTGTTTGGGCTCGAGCAAAGTCCTCCATGACCTTCTCATTGCTGGGCGCTGGAAATCGAGTTGGAGAGCTCATGGTGAGGTTATCGTCGTAAATGATAACAGTGGGAAGTATCCTAGTGCCGTGGCCGCTGCCCTTCTCTTCGGAAGATGAATCGCTTGGTCCTCCGCCTGGGTGTAGTTCACTTGCACTGTATGTTGTAGGGATGCAAATGTGAGGGATTCCTTTCCGCTTACCAACATCTCGGGCCAAGGTAACAGCAGAACCTCCCCCGACACTGATAACGCAATCTCGTCCAGATGCTTGGGCTGGCACGGTGGTATTGGATGAGCAGAGAACTCGACTGTCGAGATTAGGAATAATGGCTTGGATTTTGCGAGCGATGCTTGATCTTGAAGGGCTCGACACAATGAGCGGTGAAGACAAGTGTAACCGAGCCAGCTCAGATGGCAGGCGATGAACTGCGTCAGGGCCGACGACTAAACGAGGTGATGAAGAAGAAGGACGTTTTGGTCGGCGGTGTCGAGATCGAGAGGGGGGCTGCTGGACCGTGCCGGGCGGACCAGCGTGCGAAGATGGAGGAGACAAGTTGGTGGCTGGCGGCGTCACAAGAGCGGACGCCTTGAGGGCGAGAGCGTCGACAAGCTTGTCACGGATAGCAACGAGATCAGGATCAGTAACTTTTCGTGGTGACAAACGATGGATGATGGTGGTGTAGTGGTGCATGAAGGGCGGCCGATGCCGGCTGTCCGGAGGTATCCAGCAGCGGTAGCGGTTATTGAGGTATATCGAAGTCCAACCTGCGCGACATCAATCAAGTGCCCAAAATGACAACAATCATGGATTGAAGACGAAAACTGGAAAAGAAGAAATCGATCGAGGTTTGATGCAAGTTCAGAGATTCACAAGTTAGAGACATAGCACAAGGTGAGCTAGGGCACATTATTATGGGCAGATAGAATAGGCGTGACCTGGGACGAGATGAGACCAGACGAGACCAGACGAGACGTTTGAGCGAAAATCCCTTTAGCAGCACCTGTTTCTGCCTGTGAGAGGAGAGTGACCGTTTGTTGTGGTTTTTCGCCACCTAAAAAAGACGCCACCTCTGCCTTTTGACTAGGGGACTAGGAGCTTCTTAGGCGTGGGAGAAAGGGAAATTTGGTCTCTTTTTTTTTAATGATACATAAAAAAAGGGTCCAACCGATGGTCTTGGGGCCGAGGATGGGGATGGTCAAGTGGCAACGCTTTGCCTGTCTGGTGCCAGTCTCCTGCGTGAGACCCTGGAAAACTGATGTGAGAGGGGGCAAAAGGTGTATTGTTTCTGTCATGAAGACGTCAAATGTGTAACGGAGGGGGATGCTCTTGGCCCCTATAAACACCAAGGAGACAGTTTATCCGCCCCAGCCGGAGGGTAGCTCCGGCAAGTGGAGTAAGGATCGGAGACAAAGTCTCGTGGTGACGGAGCAAGTCCACCAATGAGAAGTGATACGGAAGATCGTGGTTGGGCTGTGGACATGGCAAAATCAAGAAAAGCATCCCTTTGTGTCATAAAACCCATATTACCTCAGTTTGGGCATTGAATGGCGATATGATTGGTTATTCTTTGAAGGCTGTGGTGGCTTCGGTGGATGTACAGTAAGCGCTGTCACCAAGAAGCTCACCTTTGAACATTATTTTAAATTAGGTAAGGAATATCCTGCTGAGTTGATCCAAGTCGCTGCGTTTCTGAACTATTCTTGGACAATGCTGTCATGACGCAGGGTGAGTTGTAAACTGACCGTGACATCTGTTCTGTAACACCATGGTGTTGTACTTGTGAGAATGAAGACTATTTCAAACTGTTTGTGATTTCGGCAACTGACCGTTGCATTACTGTTGTGTTTCTGGAGGCCTCTGGTGCATGAAGGGGAAAGAGGAGAAGAAACAAGTTATGAGCACCTAGGGAGCACACCAGGCCTCCTTTCATGTTGCAATAAGAGCTACCTTATAGAACAAGATAGAGTGTCAAGAACCAACACTTGCATCAGAGATCAGAGATGAGGCTCATGCTCAAGGATGGAGACAAAGCACTTTCTTAAGTAACAGAAACTCCATGAATGCGGAGAGGCAGGCACATAGCGGCAGTCTCCGGTGCCTCCCGCCTTTAGCTCAAGCCAACCTGCCAGTCTGCCCCTCTGAACCAGGGCCTTGCCTGATATTTCCTCTTGTTGGTCTTACAACACCAGCTTTTTTCCTCTTTTTCCTCTTCCTCTTCAATCATTGTCGCATCAATCGCCAAGATCTATCTGGAGCGCCGGCGGCCTTTACACAATTCTATGACTTTATCGCCGCCGCTTGCCCTAGTCTCACAGCTGTGATAACGTCTCCGACTGACCGATCGCCCTTCTTTCAGCTCTGTTCAATCATCTACACCTTCAAGATGGAATTTATTGCGCAGTCGCCCGCCTCCGTTCTTCCAAGCATCACAGGCCCTTAGCATTCACCACCGGACGCAGCCGACAGCCGATTTTACTTGCACTTCTATCTTATCTGATAAGCTTGTGGTTGGCCGACGGCTCATGGCCGAGCACTACCTCAGTATGCATATCTGCTAGCAAACTGTGGCGTACGATGCATGCACACTGGAGATAAACTGGAGCGAATTGGGTGGTTGAATTCCGACGGTTGCTCCAAATTGGTGCCATCTTCTTCACAGAGTCATCCGATTTCGCCAACTGATTACCTATCAGCCCGTGGTTTGAAGCTCAGAATGATATCCAAACAAAGCTCAGCTGGTGCTGTCCCTGCTCATGCTGGGTTTATCATCACAATCCTGGCCATGATAGACAGCCGAAGTCGCCTATTCTGTGGCGATGGGTGACAGCCCCAGACGATGCCTCGGGGATGCGCCGATGCGCTATCTCATCCCTCCTCGATTCGAACCCAGCCCAATGGTTGCGACAGGCCGTACTCCTCTGTCCGTCCCCCACGTCCCGAGGTGCGCCTCCAATACCAGTTCCCCGACTGGCCGGCCTGATAACAAAACAACCTTATTCATACCTCTCCATCGTGGAATCCGGGGTTGCATATTTAAAGGAGCGGTTGTGCACCATCGTGTCATCAATATCAGGCTTCAGATTAGCATCGCATGTTTTCTTAGCTGACCTTGTCTTTTGATCTGCATCTCATCTCACCTCGCTTGGGGTTCTTGAACTCGGACCCGCAGACACCCACCAGCTGCCCCATCTCTAGCTATTTGTCAAGCATCTGGGGAACAAGAAGTGCTGATAAGCTATCTCTGGATCCACGAGTTTTACAAGTCTTGGGTCACTAAGCCCAAAAAATAACTCTGGTCACTCCCGAAAACGGCCTCGCGTGCTCGCCAATCACCTCTATTACATGAAGAGGCATTAGAAGTATAAACCTTCATATTGCCCATATCAACTTTCAGTACTGGAGCCTTTCAAAACTTTCGTCAATATCTATCCAACGTTAACATCCAGAGCCTGTGTCCGTTGAGTTGATCGACACCAAGATACCTCTTTTCGCTTAGACCCCTCGACGATCAACGCCATCGACAGCAAGCCATTCCAGCGTCGGCCTATTTCCAGTTCCTTTACACAACTCCATCTAACACCTTCAAAAATGGATGAGGATCAAGGGCCACGGTCCATTGCCCCCGAGCATGCGCCACCGAAAACAATTGCTCAGCGCTGCAATGGCCTCAAAAAGGCATTCACCACCAGGCATGGCCTGATTGGCGATTACGACTATGCCTTTCTCTTTCGCCCAAACCTGCCCTTCATGAAGAAGAGCGTCAACCCAAGTCCCTTCTTTGGTCTTAATGACAAGATGCCAGTTCTCTTGGGCTTGCTGCTCGGCTTTCAACACGCACTGGCCATGTTAGCAGGTGTGATTACACCACCGATAATTATCAGCGGTAGCGCCAATTTGCTACCTGAGCAACAACAATACCTCGTCTCAACCGCTCTCATCGTTTCTGGCATCTTCTCTGCAGTCCAAATCACTCGATTCAGGCTTTTTGGTACACAGTAAGTGTTGGTTGGTCGCGGCGAAAGTTTGGGCTAACCATTGTCTTAAGATATTACCTCGGTACTGGAGTTCTGTCCGTAGTTGGAGTTTCATTCAGCGTTATTCCTGTCGCTCAAGGAAGTCTCACCCAGATGTACGCCAATGGCTTCTGTCCTTCGGATTCTGATGGAAACCCCTTGCCTTGCCCTCAGGGTTATGGAGCCATTCTCGGTACCTCCGCTGTGTGTGCTTTGATCAACATCCTCGTCTCTTTCATCCCCGCAAAGTACTTGTTGAAGGTCCTGCCACCGATTGTCACCGGTCCTACCGTTATGCTCATCGGTATCAAGCTCATCAAGTCGGGTTTCTCCAACTGGATGGGTGGCAGTGGAGGATGCATGACTGCCACTGATGGCTTGTTTGCTCTTTGCCCCAACATCAACGCACCACATCCTCTTCCCTGGGGATCTGCAGAATTCCTAGGCTTGGGTTTCTCTGTTTTCGTTGCTATTATCCTGTGTGAGCGTTTCGGCTCTCCCATCATGAAATCCACCTCGGTCGTGGTTGGACTACTAGTCGGCTGCATTATTGCTGCTGCTTGTGGTTATTTCGATCGATCCGGGATCGACTCTGCCCCCGTTGCTTCGTTCGCCTGGGTACACACGTTCCCTCTATCAGTTTACGGGCCACTCGTGCTCCCCCTGATCGCTGTTTACCTTGTCTGTGCTACCGAGGCTATTGGCGATGTCACAGCCACATGCGATGTTTCCAAACTCGAGGTGACCGGAAAGACCTATGAATCTCGTATCCAGGGTGGCATCTTGTCAGATGGTATTGCTGGCTGTATTGGTGCTCTCATGACGATGACACCTATGTCTGTCTTTGCTCAGAACAACGGTGTCATTGTCCTCACCAGATGCGCCAACCGCAAAGCTGGTCTTGCCTGCGCCATGTTCCTGATCATCATGGGTATCTTTGCCAAGTTTGCTGCTGCTCTCATTGCCATTCCATCAGCTGTTCTTGGTGGCATGACAACCTTCCTCTTCAGTGCTGTGGCTGTATCGGGCATGTCCATCATTGTCCGTGGCGTCCCTTTCACTCGACGCAACCGCTTCATTCTCACTGCTGGTCTGGCTCTGGGATATGGCGCAACGCTTCTACCCAACTACTTTGATAAGATCTTCACATACGAGGGGGACAACCGCTCTCTTCAGGGTTTCCTCGACGCTATTGTTCTTGTCATGGAGACCGGTTTTGCGGTTGCTGCCATCATCTGTGTGATCCTCAACCTTACACTTCCCGAGGAGCTGGAAGATGATATCGATGCAGCCCGTTCAGCGACCAATGTCGTGATCCATGAGGATACAGAGCAACAGAACAAGGCCATAGCAGGCTCAAGCCGGGAGCATAGCATCGATCCGCAGAAGCAGGTTTGAATGGATGTAGGAAGAAACGTATAAAAGTTCAGTAGGAAATAAGGGTTCTATGTATTTATGGTAAATGTTGGGTCATTTGAAAGTATGATTTCTCACTTGAAGCATCTCAGTCTCTGCAGATCAAAAGCGATGTTTATTAAACATTGTAATCATTCCAATTTATCAGCGACCTTGTCTAAGAGTCCCACTCTCAGCTTTCCAAAAACGCCTGTAACCAATGACTACTCCATTACTCCTCGCCTCGTCAGAATCATAAAAGCCCCCTACATAGAGATACAA